CTAAAATGCATGATCTGTTTGTATTTTGAGAAAAACACATCATAGACATGTTTTTATATATTAGTATATTTCTGAGACCCATAATATACGCCTAAAAATAGCATGATAGGTGACCTTTAAGATTTTCCCTTATCAATTTTAGTTACTTTTTTAATTGTTCCATTGTTATTTTGTGCTTGAAAATGTCCGATCTATGTATTAGTTTCTGATTGTGATATTCTTCACTGCTTGGGGAAACTTGTATTGTTTGTGTTTCTAATATTCTGCTTTGTATTTTCCAGATACTGAAGAGGATTGGACACCAGACTCGTATTAAAGACACATAAATATAAGAAAAGAAATCCCCCATGATAATAACAGTTTAATTTCCTGCCCTGTATATTTCAGTCCCATGTTGTTGATCAACAGGACTCACACTGAAATCATCACTACAATAAATATACAGATATCAACGTCTTTCATTCATATTTAAATACATGTACGTGTTTCTTTTAAGGGAGTTGCTTATTTTAAATCCATTAAAGCGGATGATGTTAAGCGTCTTCATTCTGTGTCGTCTCTGTAAAAAATAAAAGTTTAATGAGTGAAAAATTCACCTCAGATTATTTATTTTCTGCTTTTTTTGATGAAAATCCGGCTCTTTTCCTCAGAGACACTTCATACTGATATACACCTGAACATCAGCAGGACTCTTTAAAGTAGAGACACTACATACTGATATACACCTGAACATCAACAGGAGAGGACTCTTTAAAGTAGAGACTCTACATACTGATATACACCTGAACATCAGCAGGAGAGGACTCTTTAAAGTAGAGACACTACATACTGATATACACCTGAACATCAGCAGGACTCTTTAAAGTAGAGACACTACATACTGATATACACCTGAACATCAACAGGAGAGGACTCTTTAAAGTAGAGACTCTACATACTGATATACACCTGAACATCAGCAGGAGAGGACTCTTTAAAGTAGAGACACTACATACTGATATACACCTGAACATCAGCAGAAGAGGACTCTTTAAAGTAGAGACACTACATACTGATATACACCTGGACATCAGCAGGAGAGGACTCTTTAAAGTAGAGACACTACATACTGATATACACCTGAACATCAGCAGGAGAGGACTCTTTAAAGTAGAGACACTACATACTGATATACACCTGAACATCAGCAGGAGAGGACTCTTTAAAGTAGAGACACTACATACTGATATACACCTGAACATCAGCAGGAGAGGACTCTTTAAAGTAGAGACACTACATACTGATATACACCTGGACATCAGCAGGAGAGGACTCTTTAAAGTAGAGACACTACATACTGATATACACCTGAACATCAGCAGGAGAGGACTCTTTAAAGTAGAGACACTACATACTGATATACACCTGAACATCAGCAGGAGAGGACTCTTTAAAGTAGAGACACTACATACTGATATACACCTGAACATCAGCAGGAGAGGACTCTTTAAAGTAGAGACACTACATACTGATATACACTTGAACATCAGCAGGAGAGGACTCTTTAAAGTAGAGACACTACATACTGATATACACCTGAACATCAGCAGGAGAGGACTCTTTAAAGTAGAGACACTACATACTGATATACACTTGAACATCAGCAGGAGAGGACTCTTTAAAGTAGAGACACTACATACTGATATACACCTGAACATCAGCAGGAGAGGACTCTTTAAAGTAGAGACACTACATACTGATATACACCTGAACATCAGCAGGAGAGGACTCTTTAAAGTAGAGACACTACATACTGAGATACACCTGAACATCAGCAGGAGAGGACTCTTTAAAGTAGAGACACTACATACTGATATACACCTGAACATCAGCAGGAGAGGACTCTTTAAAGTAGAGACACTACATACTGATATACACCTGAACATCAGCAGGAGAGGACTCTTTAAAGTAGAGACACTACATACTGATATACACCTGAACATCAGCAGGAGAGGACTCTTTAAAGTAGAGACACTACAAACTTTAGTTTCACCATTAGCGTTTATTGAACAGGAAGGAAGTGGGGAAGCAGGTACAAAAGCAGGACCGAGCTACATATTGACGCCACGCTACTGTTTTGTGTCGGTTTTATTAAATATGTATTATTACTGCAGGTCACTGGGGGTGAAACAGTGAATCTCTGCAGGTGTTAACAAACAGAAAGATGTAGCTGCCACTGGATCTGTGATAAACAAGAGAAACAAACAAAAACAAACAAACACAGGTGACGTAGTGAAGCATCAGGAGGTATTTGACTTTAGTATTTCCAATTTCTGCTGCTTTATCCTTCAAATACTCGTACTTTTTCCGCCTCTGGTTGTAACTGTTGTCCAATTTCAGTCAGAAAATCATATTTGAACCACTCCGTCATACTTCATTTCAACGCCGCAAAAGCACAAAAAAGTACAAAAGGCATTCAGCAACATCGATATTAAAGTGTGTTCATGACGGATTTCTTTCACTCAAAGTGCACTTTGCTGTTAATCCACTTGAGAATAAGCAACTCTAAATGCGTCGTCAGAGAGGGTCATTGAGAAAAGGTGCTAAAAGTATCATTTGACTCATGCCCTGAAGAGGCCTGTTTGTGTTGGTTTTAGATGGAAGATGCGACTCCAAAAGCCACATGAAGAGAACGGGAAAGCGTGAGAGGAAATATAGAAAACATTATTATATAAAACAATACACGAAGAAATGTCCTTTTTTCTAACTGTGAAAAGCAGGAGAGCACAGGTAACCCTGGGCTGTGAGGAAACATGTTCTCACATGTGACAAAACACTCAGAGGATTGAATCCGACAGCTTCCACCTCCAATTTCACAGCCAGCTGCTGCCCAGACTCATCCCTCTTTTTAAAGGAATATTACATGTTTTGGGGGGAAATATACTTATTTATTTTGCTGCAAATGTTCGATAGATGCCAATTAATGATCCCTTAATCAGCTAACATGAAAAACCATTACATAAACTGGTCAAATTAACTAAATAACACACACAAAACTCAAGCGGTAATTACTTAACTGGTATAGATGCCAATTATTTACCACCTGATCATAAAATATATAATTAATCACTAAGACAATTACTTTAATGTTTATGCCAGTAATGATCCCTTACCAGCTGTTCTTTGCTAATTTAATTTATACCAAATCATCTTATTTTACGTGTCTTTATGCACATTTATACAATAACTAAAGCTATTGTCTTTAAGTTAATAAAGTACAATATTTTGCTTTGAATTGTAGTAGAGTAGAAGTACACATTGGCAGAAAAGTAAAAGTACCCTAAACCGTACCGAGTAAATCTGCATTGTGGTATTTATCTGAACTCTCTGCATTCAAAAATAAATACGCACATTTCCCAAAACACTCCTTTAACACATCTTAAAACCGGGTTAAGGTTTTAAATCAATAAATACAAAGATTGTCAGAGAAATAAAGTGTTTTCAAAAAGGGACAGATAATGAAAGAAGATGCTGCCGAGCCACAGAGACTTACAAACTAAAATAGTGACAAAAATCAAATTGTCATCGGTCACTTTTTAAAATACAGGAGATCAACTGTGTGTGCTTTTCTCCGGTACCTTAAAGTACGGTGGCTGACAGCGGCCAAATCTCTTCCATCAGGAGAAACGAACTGCAGCTTCAGAAACGATATAAAAACACAATTGTTCGTGTACTCGTGTTTTAACTTGTGTTTTTATATCTGAAGTTGCTGCACGTTTTTCCTCCTACGTTGTCGGCCACCGTATAAAAACATTCACTTAAACATTTGCGATAAATATTCATATTCACACAAAGCCGGTCCTATAGAGTACACATTCCTCTAGCAGACTTAACATATATATTTTAAGAATATAAATAGCATATATATTTAGAAATCTAGTAAAAACAATTGTTAAAACCGAATAAAAAGTGGGGGTAAAGAAGCTTAACATTAACTTTGATACAGTGGTAAACCTACAGTAAGAGGTAGAAAAAGTATAAAATATTATTTAACAACACGGAGAGAACATGTGTGTGAGAGGTCTCCCTTCAGAACAAACTGCAGACATCATAAAACACACGAACAGACGGGCAGACGGACATTAGATTACACACCAGGTCCAATGGCAGCTATAGCTTCCTGACTAACTGGGATTGATTAAATACTGGACAACATGTGTGTTTGTTCTGACGAGAAACATGCCGAGTCATGGATTAGCTCTGGGTTCAAGCAGCCATTATGCGACTCAGAAAAGTCACTGTTTTATGTTCACTATATTGTATGTTGGAGGAGACTTGGTGGTGCTGAAGGAATGAGTCCTTAAACCTTGAAATTAGTCAGCATTTTACCACTTTAGTTCCTTTAGCTATAGCCTAACATTAGCCACCTTTAGCTTAGCGGTGGTGTCGTGAAGTCATGTGACCGTGCTGTAGTTCCTTTATAGCCCAACATTAGCCACCTTTAGCTTAGCGGTGGTGACGTGAAGTCATGTGACCGTGCTGTAGTTCCTTTATAGCCCAACATTAGCCACCTTTAGCTTAGCGGTGGTGACGTGAAGTCACGTGACCGTGTTGTAGTTCTTTTATAGCCCAACATTAGCCACCTTTAGCTTAGCGGTGGTGACGTGAAGTCATGTGACCGTGCTGTAGTTCCTTTATAGCCCAACATTAGCCTCTATATAAGGAACTACAGCACGGTCACATGACTTCCCGTCACCACCGCTAAGCTAAAGGAGGCTAATGTTGGGCTATAAAGGAACTACAGCACGGTCACGTGACTTCACGTCACCACCGCTAAGCTAAAGGTGGCTAATGTTGGGCTGTAAAGGAACTACAGCACGGTCACATGACTTCACGTCACCACCGCTAAGCTAAAGGTGGCTAATGTTGGGCTATAAAGGAACTACAGCACGGTCACATGACTTCACGTCACCACCGCTAAGCTAAAGGAGGCTAATGTTGGGCTATAAAGGAACTACAGCACGGTCACATGACTTCACGTCACCACCGCTAAGGAGGCTAATGTTGGGCGTGATGACGTTTAGTCGTCTCATTTAGACACTTGTTAGCAACCGTAGTTTTTAATTCACCAGTGGAGTATTTACTGACGTATTTTAATCTCTTCAGCTTGTGTTAACCACCCAACTTATTTCAGGCAGAAAGTGATTAAATGCTGACTCATGTCTGGTTTTAGGACTCATTCCTTCGTGGCTCTATTCATTTTTTTTGCCACTCGAGCTCCTGGCTGCTATTTCCACCAACGTTATGCGTTGATGAAATCACGGCCCGCTCGTCTGCGTCTCCCATGATGCATTGCATGAGTCAACGAGCAGCCGACCTGCTTTGTGTCCGAACGTCTGGAGAACAAAATGAAAAGCGGCACCGGTTCCATACCGGTCGCTGCTGATTGGATTAGAGGGAGAGCCTGGTGCAGACATTACTCACTCTGCAGGAAACAGATGAGGGTGATCCTGTATTCACACATCACATCAACATCACTTTTTGTTCATCCTTTAACCATCATAGTGACTCTGACTACAGCTCGTCACATTTTGCAGAGTGAGATGCTACACAAAGCGACGTCTTAAACATTAAATACACATTTCTGATCATTCAGTCGTGTTTTAGGTGCAGATTAATGCACATCTTCCAACAAATGTCCATGTATTTTTTAGATTTCTGAGCTGTGACGGTGGCTGCTGAACCCAGAGACTCTGCTGAAGCTGATGAAGCGTTTTTACAGGAGTGTGTGTGTGTGTGTGTGTGTGTGTGTGTGTGTGTGTGTGTGTGTGTGTGCGTGTGTATGTGTATGTGTGCGTGTGTATGTGTGTGTGTGTGTGTGTGTGTGTTTTCAGTGTGAAAGCATCCTCTATGTCCCTTTAGGCGGCGTCCACTTTAAGGCTTTGGGTTCGATGGTCTTGCTGTTTCCGCGCTTCGTCTCCCTCGCCTTCCAGTCGTCGATGAGGTCCTTCAGAGAGACAGGAAATTAAGAAATGTTTGAAAAATGTGCAGATCTTTTAGTAAATTGTAAAGAAAATTATAACATAATTTTTGAAAAGCTAAATGATTTTTCCAAAATTCCGTTTTATTTTTTATTCCGTTTTTTTTCTAAAATGTACGTTTTTGGAAAAAGTTTGGAGATTTATTTATAATTACGTGTTCTTTTTTTAAATTAAGCTTTTTATTCGGAAATTACATTATTCTTAAATATTGAATATCTTTCAAAAATGAGGCAAATCTTTCAAAAAAACTTCATTTTTGTAAGATTTGCAGTTAGGTAATTTTTTTAATTAAATCAAGCATTTCTCGAAAATTAAGCATTTTTAAATGATTTTAGAATTTTTTTTTTAAAGTGACTCGAAAATTAAGTCACTTTAAAAACAGGTATATATATATATATAAAAGTAATAATCTTTTGAAAAAAAATAAAATAATAATAAAAGTCGATTGAGTGTCTCCTACCTGTCTCTTTAACACCAGGTGTTTTCCCTTCCAGTATTTGAGCATCTGGAGAGACTGCAGAGTGCTGACGATATCCACCGGGTTCACCGCCGTCTCCTGACTGATCTCTGAGAGACAGAGAGAGGAAAAAGAGAGAGTCAGAGATGGAGAAAGTACACACATCCTTTACTCAAGTAGAAGTACAGATTAAAAATACTCTGGTAAAAGTAGAGGTACTGACTAAACTTCTTTACTCAAGTAAAGAAGTATGGGCTTTGAAATGTACTTAAAGGTGGGGTAGGTAAGTTTGAGAAACCGGCTCGAGTGCGCTAGAATTTGAAAATACACAGCTGGAAAAAATCTGCTCCCTCTTCTTTAGAGAAGACCAGGAAATGATGGATACACGGATCGTGTTCAAATCAATAGGCACGCAATGACTCTAAATAATAATGATCACGCCACCAAACACACATTCAGACTAAAGGAACCAGCCTGTTTGGGAAATGTGAGAAGTAGAAAGTACAGGTATTTGGGTTCAACATGTAAGAAGTAGAAAGTACAGGTATTTGAGTTCAACATGTAAGAAGTAGAAAGTACAGGTATTTGAGTTCAACATGTAAGAAGTAGAAAGTACAGGTATTTGAGTTCAACATGTAAGAAGTAGAAAGTACAGGTATTTGAGTTCAAAATGTAAGAAGTAGAAAGTACAGGTATTTGAGTTCAACATGTAAGAAGTAGAAAGTACAGGTATTTGAGTTCAACATGTAAGAAGTAGAAAGTACAGGTATTTGTGTTCAACATGTAAGAAGTAGAAAGTACAGGTATTTGAGTTCAAAATGTAAGAAGTAGAAAGTACAGGTATTTGTGTTCAAAATGTGAGAAGTAGAAAGTACAGGTATTTGAGTTCAACATGTAAGAAGTAGAAAGTACAGGTATTTGAGTTCAACATGTAAGAAGTAGAAAGTACAGGTATTTGAGTTCAAAATGTAAGAAGTAGAAAGTACAGGTATTTGTGTTCAAAATGTGAGAAGTAGAAAGTACAGGTATTTGAGTTCAACATGTAAGAAGTAGAAAGTACAGGTATTTGTGTTCAAAATGTGAGAAGTAGAAAGTACAGGTATTTGGGTTCAACATGTAAGAAGTAGAAAGTACAGGTATTTGTGTTCAAAATGTAAGAAGTCAAAGTAAAAAGTAGTCAGAAAAATAAGTAGAGGAGTAAAGTACTGATACCAGAAAAATGTACTTATACAGTAACGAAGTATTTGTACTCAATCAATCTGTGCACGTAAACTACTGATTAAACACTAAAAACTGTGCTGAATCGTCACAGTATCACACAATACTCATGGCATCGATATTCCCTTCACAGTTAGCAAACAGATTTAAATAACTGTAAAAGCACAAGTTAAAATGTTTTAAATATCGGTGTTAAAGATTCTCCTGATGTCTCTGCGAATCAGAAAAAATTGCAGACTTAATGTCGTCTTCTCTTTGCACCTCGAGATTTTATGTCAAACAAAACCATGTTTCCAGCAGATCTGGGACTTCCACGACGACAGGTACAAGGCAGCAATTAATGGTTATTAATTGCTGCCTTGTTACCTGTCCAATCAGCTGTTTAGGACGGAAAAAAGCGAGTTGACAAGTACTCCAAAAATCATTTCAGAGGCAGTATTTTCAAGAATAACTACAGACTAAAATATGATTGAAACACAATGTCTACGGCCATGCTAACAGCTTGTTCTATCTGTACTAAGACAACACAGTCCTTTGAGCCAAATACCGTGAGCGTTATGCTAACATGCTAACAGTGGCAACGATAAGTGCCTGAAAACAGCAGAGACTCAACAAATGCAAAACATGCCTTTAACCTGGTTTAATGTTGACTTGATTCACCGTCTGAGTAAAGACTAGTTATGTGAGCATGAGTTAATATGTCCTGCACGAGGAGTCCCAAAAAAACACTGAGAAGTCGAGTCAACCTCACGCGTGGACGATTACAAAAACATACAAATCACAGGGACACATTTTTGTGTCTTTTGCTTAAAATCATTGTTGAAGCTCGGCTGTTTCTCTGCAGCTGAAACATCATGAAAGTGTTTCTGCAGAACGAGCACAGCGAGGCTCTTTATGGAAATAATAAGTAATCAAAAGATCCTGATGTTTAATAATCTCTGCAGAGAAAGACAGACCCGAGGGCAGATTCTGAGTCTGAGCAGTGAGAGGATCTTCCTGCATTCATACAACGTTTTAAACTATGCGGGGAACAGAGTGTTACGACTGAAGTATTCACGGTTTGTCTGAACGATATCTAAAGAGTTCTACTGATACCTCTTTATAGTCTGACAAAAAGATGTTTCTGAATCGATTGAATCAGTTATTTGTTACATTCACAAAGGCAGATATTAAAGAGTTATATCAGTATGTAGTGTCTCTACTTTAAAGAGTCCTCTCCTGCTGATGTTCAGGTGTATATCAGTATGTAGTGTCTCTACTTTAAAGAGTCCTCTCCTGCTGATGTTCAGGTGTATGTCAGTATGTAGTGTCTCTACTTTAAAGAGTGCTCTCCTGCTGATGTTCAGGTGTATATCAGTATGTAGTGTCTCTACTTTAAAGAGTCCTCTCCTGCTGATGTTCAGGTGTATATTAGTATGTAGTGTCTCTACTTTAAAGAGTGCTCTCCTGCTGATGTTCAGGTGTATATCAGTATGTAGTGTCTCTACTTTAAAGAGTCCTCTCCTGCTGATGTTCAGGTGTATATCAGTATGTAGTGTCTCTACTTTAAAGAGTCCTCTCCTGCTGATGTTCAGGTGTATATCAGTATGTAGTGTCTCTACTTTAAAGAGTCCTCTCCTGCTGATGTTCAGGTGTATATCAGTATGTAGTGTCTGCACTTTAAAGAGTCCTCTCCTGCTGATGTTCAGGTGTATATCAGTATGTAGTGTCTCTACTTTAAAGAGTCCTCTCCTGCTGATGTTCAGGTGTATATCAGTATGTAGTGTCTCCACTTTAAAGAGTCCTCTCCTGCTGATGTTCAGGTGTATATCAGTATGTAGTGTCTCTACTTTAAAGAGTTCTCTCCTGCTGATGTTCAGGTGTATATCAGTATGTAGTGTCTCTACTTTAAAGAGTCCTCTCCTGCTGATGTTCAGGTGTATATCAGTATGTAGTGTCTCTACTTTAAAGAGTGCTCTCCTGCTGATGTTCAGGTGTATATCAGTATGTAGTGTCTCTACTTTAAAGAGTCCTCTCCTGCTGATGTTCAGGTGTATATCAGTATGTAGTGTCTCTACTTTAAAGAGTCCTCTCCTGCTGATGTTCAGGTGTATATCAGTATGTAGTGTCTCTACTTTAAAGAGTCCTCTCCTGCTGATGTTCAGGTGTATATCAGTATGTAGTGTCTCCACTTTAAAGAGTCCTCTCCTGCTGATGTTCAGGTGTATATCAGTATGTAGTGTCTCTACTTTAAAGAGTCCTCTCCTGCTGATGTTCAGGTGTATATCAGTATGTAGTGTCTCTACTTTAAAGAGTCCTCTCCTGCTGATGTTCAGGTGTATATCAGTATGTAGTGTCTCCACTTTAAAGAGTCCTCTCCTGCTGATGTTCAGGTGTATATCAGTATGTAGTGTCTCTACTTTAAAGAGTCCTCTCCTGCTGATGTTCAGGTGTATATCAGTATGTAGTGTCTCTACTTTAAAGAGTCCTCTCCTGCTGATGTTCAGGTGTATATCAGTATGTAGTGTCTCTACTTTAAAGAGTCCTCTCCTGCTGATGTTCAGGTGTATATCAGTATGTAGTGTCTCTACTTTAAAGAGTCCTCTCCTGCTGATGTTCAGGTGTATATCAGTATGTAGTGTCTCTACTTTAAAGAGTCCTCTCCTGCTGATGTTCAGGTGTATATCAGTATGTAGTGTCTCTACTTTAAAGAGTGCTCTCCTGCTGATGTTCAGGTGTATATCAGTATGTAGTGTCTCCACTTTAAAGAGTCCTCTCCTGCTGATGTTCAGGTGTATATCAGTATGTAGTGTCTCTACTTTAAAGAGTTCTCTCCTGCTGATGTTCAGGTGTATATCAGTATGTAGTGTCTCCACTTTAAAGAGTCCTCTCCTGCTGATGTTCAGGTGTATATCAGTATGTAGTGTCTCTACTTTAAAGAGTTCTCTCCTGCTGATGTTCAGGTGTATATCAGTATGTAGTGTCTCTACTTTAAAGAGTCCTCTCCTGCTGATGTTCAGGTGTATATCAGTATGTAGTGTCTCTACTTTAAAGAGTGCTCTCCTGCTGATGTTCAGGTGTATATCAGTATGTAGTGTCTCTACTTTAAAGAGTCCTCTCCTGCTGATGTTCAGGTGTATATCAGTATTTAGTGTCTCTACTTTAAAGAGTTCTCTCCTGCTGATGTTCAGGTGTATATCAGTATGTAGTGTCCCTACTTTAAAGAGTCCTCTCCTGCTGATGTTCAGGTGTATATCAGTATGTAGTGTCTCTACTTTAAAGAGTCCTCTCCTGCTGATGTTCAGGTGTATATCAGTATGTAGTGTCTCTACTTTAAAGAGTCCTCTCCTGCTGATGTTCAGGTGTATATCAGTATGTAGTGTCTCTACTTTAAAGAGTCCTCTCCTGCTGATGTTCAGGTGTATATCAGTATGTAGTGTCTCTACTTTAAAGAGTCCTCTCCTGCTGATGTTCAGGTGTATATCAGTATGTAGTGTCTCTACTTTAAAGAGTCCTCTCCTGCTGATGTTCAGGTGTATATCAGTATGTAGTGTCTCTACTTTAAAGAGTGCTCTCCTGCTGATGTTCACGTGTATATCAGTATGTAGTGTCTCCACTTTAAAGAGTCCTCTCCTGCTGATGTTCAGGTGTATATCAGTATGTAGTGTCTCTACTTTAAAGAGTTCTCTCCTGCTGATGTTCAGGTGTATATCAGTATGTAGTGTCTCTACTTTAAAGAGTCCTCTCCTGCTGATGTTCAGGTGTATATCAGTATGTAGTGTCTCTACTTTAAAGAGTCCTCTCCTGCTGATGTTCAGGTGTATATCAGTATGTAGTGTCTCTACTTTAAAGAGTCCTCTCCTGCTGATGTTCAGGTGTATATCAGTATGTAGTGTCTCTACTTTAAAGAGTCCTCTCCTGCTGATGTTCAGGTGTATATCAGTATGTAGTGTCTCTACTTTAAAGAGTCCTCTCCTGCTGATGTTCAGGTGTATATCAGTATGTAGTGTCTCTACTTTAAAGAGTCCTCTCCTGCTGATGTTCAGGTGTATATCAGTATGTAGTGTCTCTACTTTAAAGAGTCCTCTCCTGCTGATGTTCAGGTGTATATCAGTATGTAGTGTCTCTACTTTAAAGAGTCCTCTCCTGCTGATGTTCAGGTGTATATCAGTATGTAGTGTCTCTACTTTAAAGAGTCCTCTCCTGCTGATGTTCAGGTGTATATCAGTATGTAGTGTCTCTACTTTAAAGAGTCCTCTCCTGCTGATGTTCAGGTGTATATCAGTATGTAGTGTCTGTACTTTAAAGAGTCCTCTCCTGCTGATGTTCAGGTGTATATCAGTATGTAGTGTCTCTACTTTAAAGAGTCCTCTCCTGCTGATGTTCAGGTGTATATCAGTATGTAGTGTCTCTACTTTAAAGAGTCCTCTCCTGCTGATGTTCAGGTGTATATCAGTATGTAGTGTCTCTACTTTAAAGAGTCCTTTCCTGCTGATGTTCAGGTGTATATCAGTATGTAGTGTCTCTACTTTAAAGAGTCCTCTCCTGCTGATGTTCAAGTGTATATCAGTATGTAGTGTCTCTGCTTTAAAGAGTCCTCTCCTGTTGATGTTCAGGTGTATATCAGTATGTAGTGTCTCTACTTTAAAGCAGTGGCGTAGCTGTGGGTGGGCCCGGGTGGGCCTGGGCCCACCCACATGCACGTCTGGCCCACCCACAGCCAATCAGCGCGTTATAGCGCAGAGCCGGGAAGCCCAGAAGGAAGTGCCACAAACTGCAGTTCCTCTAGTGGCCAACAGGGGATGGATGCAGAAAGGAGCAATTCCCATAGACCCCCATGTTAAAATGCCCAACTTTACAGCAGAAATAAACATGTTTCTAGCTGGGATCCAATCAAACTTATTCTGGATATAGTTAGATTCCACCTTCATGACAATGGAATAGGGAGTGCATTTTTTTACCGTGAGTAAATTAGTAAGTAAAGTAGGTTTTGCCGTGAGTTAACGAAAGTCTTATTTCTTCTTGAGGTCTGCAGTGAAGCGTGTACACATTTGCTGAATATGAAAACTCTCAGTGTGTGCCCACTGTGCGACTGTCAAGGATAAACAACCTGTGGCCGCCGAGCCAGTCATGTGTAGGGATGGGTACCGAGCCCTAGGGCTGAATTATTAAAGACCGTGGTACCATTAAGCTCCGACGTTATCGGTCGGTACTGGAGACATGTAAAAAATATATCTCATATGTATTATTGCTACACAAACATTATATTGCAGTTTTAGTGTCGCCAACTCTGTTTCTTATATGCAAAAAGACAGCAAAATGCGTCTATGATTATTTTTAGTATTTTCGATCTTTCCAATCCAGACGAGAGATCTCTCTCCCCCGCCTGTGTGCGAGGGGGCGGGGCAGTTTACACACACGCAGCTGCTACATGCAGCAACACACACACACGGAGGAGATGGCGGAGAGAACGCGTCCGAGGTGTGGTTAAACTTTACCTGTTCGATGAGGACAATGCTCGTTACCAAAAGTACAATAAGAGTTTAGCATGGAAGGGCGGTAACACGAGCAATTTGTCTAAACATCTTGTAAAAGTGCACCACATTCAAACGGAGAAATGCACCGGGTTCGACTGTCTTTCTAGTAGCGCTGTAGCCCCATCCACGAGTAACTTTCCCACGTCAGGTGTTATGTATGCTAGCAGCAACACACGGAGTTAACTCAATTATACAAACATGGGCTAATGATTAGAGGTAACTGAGTTATTTATTTTGTTAAAGTTTCAGCTATTCTGTTTACAGTTCTGTCATCACATTATTTAATACGATTTGTTAAAACACTGTTGTTTCTTTTGATGTGAAATATTATGTATTTAATTAAAATAAAAAGCAATGATAGTTTTGTTCACAATTTGTGTTAGTTTACCTTATTTTTTTCTCCAAAAAAAACGATAAAAGTACCGTTAAAGCCGTGCCTATGTTTTTGTTTTCACTGCTAGTTTATGCTTATGTTCAATTAGTGCATTACAAAATCATTAAAATCATTAATGAAGTTTCAGCTCAGACCCCACGCTTAATAAGTCTCCCCCTGGCCCACCTACATTTCTCCAGGCCCACCCCACACAATAATTCCTGGCTACGCCACTGCTTTAAAGAGTCCTCTCCTGCTGATGATGATCAGGTGTATATCAGTATGTAGTGTCTCTACTTTAAAGAGTCCTCTCCTGCTGATGTTCAGGTGTATATCAGTATGTAGTGTCTCTACTTTAAAGAGTCCTCTCCTGCTGATGATGATCAGGTGTATATCAGTATGTAGTGTCTCTACTTTAAAGAGTCCTCTCCTGCTGATGTTCAGGTGTATATCAGTATGTAGTGTCTCTACTTTAAAGAGTCCTCTCCTGCTGATGTTCAGGTGTATATCAGTATGTAGTGTCTCTACTTTAAAGAGTCCTCTCCTGCTGATGTTCAGGTGTATATCAGTATGTAGTGTCTCTACTTTAAAGAGTCCTCTCCTGCTGATGATCAGGTGTATATCAGTATGTAGTGTCCCTACTTTAAAGAGTCCTCTCCTGCTGATGTTCAGGTGTATATCAGTATGTAGTGTCTCTACTTTAAAGAGTCCTCTCCTGCTGATGATCAGGTGTATATCAGTATGTAGTGTCTCTACTTTAAAGAGTCCTCTCCTGCTGATGTTCAGGTGTATATCAGTATGTAGTGTCTCTACTTTAAAGAGTCCTCTCCTGCTGATGTTCAGGTGTATATCAGTATGTAGTGTCTCTACTTTAAAGAGTCCTCTCCTGCTGATGTTCAGGTGTATATCAGTATGTAGTGTCTCTACTTTAAAGAGTCCTGACCTTTGATGGAGATCTCTTTCCCCTGGAAGTCGTGCAGGTATCTCAGCAGAACTTCCTTCCAGTAGCTTCTATAGCTGATGAGCCCGAGGTCAGAGAGCGGTCTCTCAGGAGAGCCCACCTTCTCCTCCACCTTCGACAGCAGGTAGCCTGAAACACACACAAGATGGACGTCTTTAATTTGAACACTCCTTCTTAATTTGTTACTGTTAAAAATACTCTGGTAAAAGTAGAAGTACTGACTAAACTTCTTTACTCAAGTGAAAGTAAAGAGGGCTTTGAAATGTACTTCAGTAAAAAGTACCCATAACTAGCAGCTGTTTTAAAGAGTACCTGACCTCCCTTTATATTAATAGAACAATAATGTCATTGTTAGCTAATGAATGTTTCCATGCTGAACAACGGCAACATGACAACGTTTTCATTGGTCCCTCTTCTTTAGAGAAGACCAGGAAATGATGGATACACGGATCGTGTTCAAATCAATAGGCACGCAATGACTCTAAATAATAATGATCACGCCACCAAACACACATTCAAACTAAAGGAACCAGCCTGTTTGGGAAATGAGAGAAGTAGAAAGTACAGGTATTTGTGTTCAACATGTAAGAAGTAGAAAGTACAGGTATTTGAGTTCAACATGTAAGAAGTAGAAAGTACAGGTATTTGTGTTCAACATGTAAGAAGTAGAAAGTACAGGTATTTGTGTTCAACATGTAAGAAGTAGAAAGTACAGGTATTTGTGTTCAACATGTAAGAAGTAGAAAGTTCAGGTATTTGTGTTCAACATGTAAGAAGTAGAAAGTACAGGTATTTGGGTTCAAAATGTAAGAAGTAGAAAGTACAGGTATTTGGGTTCAAAATGTAAGAAGTAGAAAGTACAGGTATTTGGGTTCAACATGTAAGAAGTAGAAAGTACAGGTATTTGGGTTCAACATGTAAGAAGTAAAAGTAAAAAGTCGTCAGAAAGATAAGTAGTGGAGTAAAGTACTGATACCAGAAACATGTACTCAAGTACAGTAAGGAAGTATTTGTACTTCAATACTTCCCACCTCTGGTCACCAGTGTTTCCTGTATCTCTTCCTGTATCCTCTAAATGTCCTGCACTCTGTTCCTTTCTCACATTTGTTTTAATGCTATTTTATTTCTATTTGAGACGTTTACATTTTGGATTGTTCATTTCTAGTTTTTTTATTTCTCCAATGTACAATTCCTTGTGTTTTTATGCTGCTGCAACGCAAACATTTACCGAATTGGGATCAATAAAGTACTTCTTAAGCATCGTCTTCTCCCTCTGAGGAAATGTAGACAAGATACGGAGAAAACAAAGTAGGAAATTAATGACTTTAATAAAAAAACAACAAGAGTGTGTGAGGGCCTAAATCTGAACACACACACGCACACGCACACACACGCACACGCGCACACACACACTCACTGAAGTCGATGAGCATCTTGCCGTAGCCCTGCCTCATGTACTGAGGCATGGTGAGGATACACGACACGTTGTAGTTCAGGAAGGAGTTCTTCTCCTGCAGAGAGGGAACAGAAACACAGACACACAAGAGATCAGCTGATTTTAAGGGTTAATATCAGCTGAGGTGGAGGAAGTGTTCACATCCTTTACTCACGTCAAAATGCCAACACCTTACTGTCCAAAAAGTCAAAGTCATATAATCAAATCTCACTTAAAACGTATGTATTATTAGCAAAATGTACTCCTGGTAAAAACAGTCATTGTGCAGAAAAATTCCCTCCATATGTAATCAATTGTAAAAAAATAAGACATGAGTTGAGTGTTAATATCAGTGCATCAACTAGCATGTTACTGTTGGAGAAAAACAACATTCTGATATACAAATTATTCATCTTTCCTTTTTAACTTCTGTCTAACATTTGGGATATTTTTCCACCTCTTTGTTCCCCAAGATATTCACCTAAACTTTAGAAATGACAAAAGCCGTCACATGTTTTTTTAAACAAACTCTTTATCTAAAAAGGTAACAGACAGCTCTGGGAAAAGATTAAGAGACCACTTCAGCATTATCAGCTTCTCTGGTATTACTATTTATAGATTAGTGTTTGAGTTGTTACTCGATAAACTACTGACAGCATTTCTCTGAGTTGGAATTCAACAGACACGAATGGTTGTCTACATGTAGGGATGGAGATTTAAGAAACATTTGGAGTGGTCTGTTCATGTTTTCCAGAGCTGTACCAGCATATATTTGTAAAAGTGAGGTCATTTTTCAAAAATAGAGTTAATTGAAAGAAAAAATAATTGTACATTTTTTAAAAGATTTTTGGGAAATTGTTATTTTTGGAAACAAAAGTTAAAAAATGTTTGGGGGAAAATGTATTTATTTCAAATGTATACATTTTTGGAAAAGTTAGCTAAGTTTTCAGAAACTAAGTAACTTTTGGGGGAAAATATGGCAATTTTTTTTAATCATGTATTTCTTAAAATAAGGTGAGATTTCGATAATTAGGTAATTTTTGAAAAATAAGGTGTTTTTACAAAATGTTATAAAAAATAAATGTGATTTCTTTTTTAAAACGTGGTGATATTTTTCAATCAAGATTTCGAAAATTCTGTGTATTTTATATATTTAATGATTTTTAAAATGTCAGGTCAAGACAAATATGTTGTCTTCTCGATTATTATCTCCATACAATTAAAAATATTCCAGTAGATACAAGTAGTTGAACATTTCCCTCCAGTCCAGCTCCTGAGTGAACGATATCTGACTATGTTGATGTTACACATGGAGCTGCTCATTTCAGACTTGATCTGACCATGAAAGTATTATCGTGTCGTACGTGCTGGCAGGTTCCTCTCACCTTGGAGAAGTACCCCACCAGGTGGCAGCCCGTCGAGTCGGATTCTGTCATGGCGTAGAACAGAAACGGCTCCACGTCGTAATAAAGAGTCTTGTGATCCAGGAAGAGCTTCGCCAGCAGACACAGGTTCTGACAGTAGATCTGGAACACACACATTCACAGTTCACGGGAAATAAAGTAGGATTTTATACATATTTTATATATATTTGTATTTCTTTGTATTCAGGATTGTGGGAAACGGTATTTCGATCGCTGTCTGTACACACAAATTGACTTTGACTGACTTTGATTATTGTAACTGTAGCTAGTAATGAAATCTATCAAAAAGGATATACACAAGCAAAGTACCTCAAAGTTATACTTAAGTACAGTATTTGAGTAAAAGTGGTTACTTTCTAAAACTTCTCTGGGTTTCTCCATAAACCCCCTCCAGCAGTCACAACATAACGAGATCACAGTGTGTGTTGTGTGTGTGTGTGTGTGTGTGTGTGTGTGTGTGTGTGTGTGTGTGTGTGTGTGTGTTCTTTATCTCATTAACTACGGGAGGATTATATTCAGGGGAAACCATTGGCGTCAGGGGACTGGTTTTAAAGAGGAAACACTACAGAAAAACTAGGATAAAGTGCAGGTTTTTACCCAACAAACATCAAACTAAAAGGATTTGAAGGTAGCATCACCTCTCCTTAACGCTCACACTGTTGCACACACACACACACACACACACACACACACACACACACACACACACACACACACACACACACACACATCACACACACACACACACACACACACACACACACACACACACACACACACACACACACACACACACACACACACACACACACACACACACACACACACACACACACACACACACACACACACACACACACACACACACACACACACACACACCACACACACACACCACACACACACACACACACACACACACACACACACACACACACACACACACACACACACACACACACACACACACACACACACACACACACACACACACACACACACACACACACACCACACACACACACACACCACACACACACACACACACACACACACACACACACACACACACACACACACACAGAACACAGAACACAGAACACACACTTGCAATCGCTGGTTTGAACATTTTAACATATTTCCCGACCCCTTTGAGTGTAAAAAGAGATTCAGACTGAATTTGGAGTTTATTATGACACTAAATTGTAGAACTAAAACAAATGTAAAAACTAAATAAATATTCATGAAGTCATCATCACGGCTCGCCAGTTTATTGAGATTTTTTAGGTGCGAGTAGCATATTTTGGCAAAACAACTTTTACATTTCAGTTTGAAACTGTTCGACTCTCCTGTTATTCATGGAGCACTTTGTTTTCTGGTAACTATGTTCAAGCCTAATATATTTAGTTTTGGATGGATTTCCCGAAAATATTGTTAGTTTTTTGAGGTAATGTTATTGTTTGATAATGAAATACATTTAGAAAATATTGGTGTTTAATGATTTTTTTTGTATATATATATAAAATGGGCAATTTATTTTTATATATATACTGTATATATATTTTTTACAATATTAGACGATTTTAGAAAATGTAGTTTCTCCATTTAAAGTAAGGTCATTTTTCTAAAGATAAGTAGTTTACAAAATAAACTAGATTTCTCAAATCTTAATCTCTGTCCTTAGGTAATCTGCTAACGGTGGAGTTTGAATCTGATCTCTTACCTTGTTCTTCTTCCCGTCCACCTCGAACACCGAGATGTTTCCCTTCCTGTAGATCTCGTCTCCTGGAGGATGCTTCCACACACACTTCGCCTGCGAGGAGACGAGACCACAGAGAGTAAAATCAGGTTAATTTATTCACAAGAGGAACATTTTCCACTTTTAGTGTCAAATAAAGCTCATTTTGTATTGAAATCTATGATCAAGATGGAATAGGGCTGCGATATCTGGAAAGGAAACCTAGTATTTCTATATGACAGGAGTGGATCACTTTGCATCAGATGTTTCATTTCTAGTATTGTTTATTTCTACTCTTTCATTATCTACTTGTGTGCAATGCCTTGTTTTGTTTTGATGCTGCAATGCAAACATTTCCCAATTTGGGATCAATGAAGATCCTCTCATCCGTTATCCTCATCTTATTTAGTGGGAATGGACACGGTCCGATCGTCCCCCAATCTTCACTTGTATATCACCGGTCCATGCCTCAACAGCTCTACGCCAAATCTGAAATCTCACCATATGCCGTTTCCATGGAAACGCATCCCTCACCATAAAGCATGATGTCGCTATAACTCCTATTCAAATGTTCAAAAAGTGCTCAAACTTCACATGTGTGCTAACAGTCCAGCCGTGAAGACATCTACGGGACATGCCGTTGCCATGGCAACACAATGCCCGCCATGAAACACGGTTTTCTCATAACTTCAGTGAAAATGCTCCAAACGGCCCAAAACTTCACAGGTTTGGTAACGATGCAGCCATCAACGCATCTAAGCGTATTATGGGATGTCATCAAATGCCGTTGGCATGGCGACAGATCATTCGCCATCAAGTTAGTTCAAAAGTTTGCAGTTCAAATATTCTGCTGCTTTTCCAAGCCTTTTTACTTTCTTTTCTTCTCTAATCACACATTCAAGCCCCCAGTGTTCATGTATCATTTCAATCTAAATTCTTCACTTTCTTCTTACACATTACTTTTCAGCATAAAGCATTCCCACTAGCAATTTCTTCAGGAATTGCATTCTCTAGTTATTAATGATCCTGCCTTCAGGGAGGAGGCTCTGCAGCCTGAGGCCGAGCACTACTCCACTAAAGAACAGCTTTAGACCCGGCTGTCAGGAGGCTGAACTCTCTCCCTCCCTCCTCTCTCTCCACTCTCTCCTCTCCACTCTCCCCACTCCACTCTATCCCCTCCCTCTCTCTCCCCAAAGTTGACTTTGACTTTGATCATTCTTGCCAATAGGTTGAATCAGTCATATTAATCACAATTACATATTTTTTCCAAAACATCCAGCTGGTGTTTTAAATACGGCCTTGTATTGGTTTTGACCTGTAGGCTCAGAAGCATGACGCTCAGTCTGTCTTCAGTTTCTCTGCCTCTATAGAAACAGAGTCTATCACAAGTGATTCAGTCTCTCTCAACAGAGTCTGCTTGGTCCAGGGTTACACTTCTGAGTATCCTGAGGCTGAGAGATAGTGAGGTTAGAGATATACACTCAGATTTATATTCTGTCAACGTCCATTTTCTCTCCATCAGAGTCTTTAGTCTGACTTTCATGAAAATAAATCATCTCCACAGTCGAGAGAAACTTTAAAGAACAGCATAACTCTTTATATACTGTATACTTTAAAGCAGGGGTCTCCAACCTTTCTTCATCTGAGAGCTACTTTGAAAAAATTAAAGTGGCCAAGAGCTACTTGCATCACATCGCTTACATTTATTCACATAGCCCTCATCAGTTGAATTAAGTTATACTTTTCTACACGTGTGAAATTGCAATACCTAAAGCTTATCAAAAATCTTAACTTCACATCAAGGTCCAAGAAAACGAAGATTTCTCACATATTATTACGGCCCACATAGTGAGTACATCACTGAACATTCACATAAGTGTCCTTAATCACCACCTTACAAGCATTTCACTATTTTGTACAGTTAGTGAGATGAATGGCACTGCATGCAGTCCACCATAGAGGTGTATGCTGGAGTGTACCCACTTAGGTTCACTCTAATAGAGTCATTTAAATGTTCATCAGTCAGTATTGTTCTGTATTTAGATTTCATTCATGTCAGAAAAAGCTGCTTCACAAAGGCATGTAGAACAGAACCAAATAAAGCAGACATTTTCAGTGCTGCTTGGTGAATGTTCTTAGAGTTTTCTGGGTCTACAAGGCTCCAGAAATGTTGTGAGTAGAGATGTCCCGATCCGATCACGTGATCGGGGATCGGAGCCGATCACGTGATTTTCAAAAGATCGGAATCGGGAGAAAAAAATCGAGGATCGGGATTTTTTTTTTGTTTTTTTATAAAATATTTTTATTATTTTATTTAATGTTACAAAACAAAAATGACCATGTTCACGTCTTAAAGTCATCCTGAGGCCTTAGTTTTGGGTTAAAATTACACAACATCATGTATGTGTTGCTTCTTTTGGGCTTGTTTTCAGACCTGGTTGCTTATTTCTCTCAAATCTGGCAACAGAGTGGGCGCAGTGTCTAATAGTAGCAGTAAGCTAACAAGAGGCTACGTTCAGCTGGTGACTCGGGAGTCGGGACAGAGAAAATGTCAGGAGTTTGGAAGTATTATAAAATTGAAAGCGAAGGCAGTGTAACAGCCAGATGCAATGTTTGCAAGGCGGAGGTTCCGCGTGGTGGAAAGAACAGAGCTACGTTCAACATGACCAATCTAATACGAACACCAACAACAACACGACGAGTACACAGCGGCCACTCGGGTAACGGCACTGAAACAACCGACACTTTCAGAGACTTTTAAAAGGAAAGAGAAACTACCCCAGAACAGCCAAGATAGCTGAATTCATCGCGTTGGATGACCAGTCGTTATCTGTTACCTTTTTTTCTCTTAATGCATTGCATAAAGATCGGATCGGGAAAAATCGGTATCGGCAGATTGTCAAAATCAAATGATCGGAATCGGATCGGGAGCAAAAAAAGGTGATCGGGACATCCCTAGTTGTGAGTTTTGCTGAGACTTAAGCTGAACATTATTTTGGATATCTCCACAGGATTGACACTGAACAGTTGTTCAGCCATCTTTTTCTTCTTCGTCTTGACATTAAATTATAAACCAAAATAAATTAATTGTATAGGTCTAGCCTCCCTATATCTGTGTGTGAAGTTGTTCCATCCTCAAAAACAAAAAACTAATGCTTCTGCAGTCTAGCTGCAGCTTCTAGCTACGGTCTTCTGTTAAAGAGAGGACACTGAATGTCCTGAATGACTTGAGTCTGAACACAGCAGACAACAGGAGTATTTACAACAGAATTATACAAACAAAAATAGTGCATGTGGGTGCACACTTACATTCTCTGTCTTACTGTTACATAAATCCCATGAATGTATGAGATTAGGTTAGCTTCATTATATCTCAATCAGTGATTAAGTGAATACTAACGGTTCTATCGGGTCACTATCAGCCTGTCACTCATTATTTTCAGGGAGGGGGCGGGGTTTGGAGGAACGGAGAGGAGACGGTGATCGCGGAAGCTTTTTTCCTCCTGCCTTCACAAACTTTACACAAGTATATATCGTCTGAAAATTGCTAGAGGACATTCATACTCTGCAATCCAAGACTTGATTAAATCCACCAAAAACCTGACATGACGATAACGAGTGTTTTTCAAAAAACACAAATCCCTCCCTGTGTGTCTCTGAGGCGCAGCGACAGGGCCTGATTCAGAGCGGGTCATTCTGCTGTTAGTTCTGGACTGGTGTTGGTGGAGAAAGCAGACTGCTCCGTGTGTGGTGTCGCTGTGCTGCTGTCACGTCTGTTCCTTGATCTCTGCGTCACCGACCATTTGATATTTGTGTGACAGAAAACAATTCTAAAATAAAAAAACTCTTTAAAGTAGAGACACTACATACTGATATACACCTGAACATCAGAAGGAGAGGACTCTTTAAAGTAGAGACACTACATACTGATATACACCTGAACATCAGCAGGAGAGGACTCTTTAAAGTAGAGACACTACATACTGATATACACCTGAACATCAGCAGGAGAGGACTCTTTAAAGTAGAGACACTACATACTGATATACACCTGAACATCAGCAGGAGAGGACTCTTTAAAGTAGAGACACTACATACTGATATACACCTGAACATCAGCAGGAGGGGACTCTTTAAAGAAGAGACACTACATACTGATATACACCTGAACATCAGCAGGAGGGGACTCTTTAAAGTAGAGACACTACATACTGATATACACCTGAACATCAGCAGGAGAGGACTCTTTAAAGTAGAGACACTACATACTGATATACACCTGAACATCAGCAGGAGAGGACTCTTTAAAGTAGAGACACTACATACTGATATACACCTGGACAACAGCAGGAGAGGACTCTTTAAAGTGAGTAAAGAGCTGCCTCACCATGTGCCTGCGTAGAATGGTCTGGCTCTTCATGTATTTCAGGCAGAATTCACACATATAGAGTCTTCCTAGACGGGCGTATTCTTCCGGATACGGCGAATGGTACCAGGTGTCCAACTCATAGCGGCCGAAAACGATGGTTTTTATCATGTTGTTTCCCTCCGACACCTGGCCACTCAGACGCAGCTTCTCCTGATGAAGAGGAGGGAGGAGGAGGAAGAGGAGGAGAGAGGATCCTAGTTATTCAGGGCAGAGGATCATGTGAACCAGAGATAAACCTCAGAGGAGGCAGCAAGCCACACAAAGATAAAGAATATCAGGATGGAGGATGAGACCGAGGAACAGTTAGGGAAACGCTTTAGATCAAGATACGATGTAATGTAGGATTTTCTAAGCTGTTCCCAGTGGCAAACATAATATAATTTAATATAATATATATAATTGTATATATATATATATAACTATAATATTAACATACATAATATATATTATAAATATAATTTAATGTAATAGAATTTAAATATAATATATTTAATCTAATATAAATAATGGCATATAATTTAATATAATATTAATATAAGTGAATATAATTTAATATAATATAATATAATTTAACATAATATAATTTAACATAATATAATATAATATAATATAATTTAATTTAATTTAATTTAATATAATATAATTTAATATAATTTAATGTAATAAAATACAATTTAATTTAATATAAAATAATATAATTTAATTTGAAATTATATTATAAAACATAATTTAATGTAAAATTATGTAATATAATTTTAAATAATATAATATATTTTAAAATAATATAATAAAATATAATTTGAATAATATTAATATAATGAAATATAATTTAAAATAATATAATACAATTTAATTTAAAATAATATACTATAATAAGATGATGTTAAAATATTGCAATTTTTGTGATTATTTTACTTGAATCATGACATTTTAATGAAACTAGTGATTATTTATATTTCATATAAAAGTTTACTGATATATAATTATCTTAATTTTTTTCAAAATGGCTTTACTTTGTAGGGAAATAGAACGATTAAAATGCCTGACTGAAATATATTGATTGTTCTGAATGTATAGGGTACGCCTGATTGTAAAAACAATGCCATTTAATGCCATAAAACAGCTTTAAAGTGTATCTGAAAGCTATATCATCTTATAAATCACATATTTTCTATAATGTCATGTGTATATGACCGCCTAAAACACATCTCTGTGCTTGTTTAGAGTAAATAACAACACCTTGGTATCAGAATGAGTCACAACAGAGAAAAGCAAACACAGAGTAACAGGAAGTGATCGTCCAAACTACCAAAAATATGTCAGACTCCTCCTGAGGCTGCAGAGGAGGCTGTGCTGACTGAAACAGAGAAGAAGAGGAGTGATGCAGAAAGGGGGGAGGAGGCAAGGAGGTAAGGGGGTAAGGGGGTAAGGGAGCGAGGTGAGGATGAGTTTTCTCTCTTACAAGATCCTCCGATGCACGTGCCTGGGCTTTCCGGAACAATTCCAGATCGTAATCACTCGTGATGTTTTCCAGCAGCGGCTCACGACTCGAACCCAGACTCTGACGGTGGTCCTGGAGCAGGAGAGAGAACTCTTTAAAGTAGAGACACTACATACTGATATACACCTGAACATCAGCAGGAGAGGACTCTTTAAAGTAGAGACACTACATACTGATATACACCTGAACATCAGCAGGAGAGGACTCTTTAAAGTAGAGACACTACATACTGATATACACCTGAACATCAGCAGGAGAGAGGACTCTTTAAAGTAGAGACACTACATACTGATATACACCTGAACATCAGCACGAGAGGACTCTTTAAAGTAGAGACACTACATACTGATATACACCTGAACATCAGCAGGAGAGGACTCTTTAAAGTAGAGACACTACATACTGATATACACCTCTGAACATCAGCAGGAGAGGACTCTTTAAAGTAGACACACATACTGATACACCTACATCTCGGAGAGGACTCTTAGCACACATATGAATACACCTACAGCCAGGAGAGGACTCTTTAAAGTAGAGACACTACATACTGATATACACCTGAACATCAGCAGGAGAAGGACTCTTTAAAGTAGAGGACACTACATACTGATATACACCTGAACATCAGCAGGAGAGAGGACTCTTTAAAGTAGAGACACTACATACTGATATACACCTGAACATCAGCAGGGAGAGACTCTTTAAAGTAGAGACACTACATACTGATATACAACCTGAACATCAGCAGGAGAGGACTCTTTAAAGTAGAGACACTACATACTGATATACACCTGAACATCAGAGGAGAGGACTCTTTAAAGTAGAGACACTACATACTGATATACACCCTGAACATCAGCAGGAGAGGACTCTTTAAAGTAGAGACACTACATACTGATATACACCTGAACATCAGCAGGAGAGGACTCTTTAAAGTAGAGACACTACATACTGATATACACCTGAACATCAGCAGAGAGGACTCTTTAAAGTAGAGACACTACATACTGATATACACCTGAACATCAGCAGAGAGGACTCTTTAAAGTAGAGACACTACATACTGATATACACCTGAACATCAGCAGGAGAGGACTCTTTAAAGTAGAGGACACTACATACTGATATACACCTGAACATCAGCAGGAGAGGACTCTTTAAAGTAGAGACACTACATACTGATATACACCTGACATCAACCTGAACATCAGCAGGAGAGGACTCTTTAAAGTAGAGACACTACATACTGATATACACCTGAACATCAGCAGGAGAGGACTCTTTAAAGTAGAGACACTACATACTGATATACACCTGAACATCAGCAGGAGAGGACTCTTTAAAGTAGAGACACTAAATACTGATATACACCTGAACATCAGCAGGAGAGGACTCTTTAAAGTAGAGACACTACATACTGATATACACCTGAACATCAGCAGGAGAGGACTGTTTAAATTACATTTTCTGAAGCCACCTGAAGTCAGGAGAGGGTGTCCGACACATGATAACTTCAAAAAAATGCTTTACTGAACATTATGACACTGCTTAGTTGAATACCTGATTCTGATTGGTCGATTAAGACATGTAAGAGGTTGTTAATACTCGATAACACACTGTTGCTAAGCTAAGGAGGATAAAGGGACTATAAGCAGTCACATCAATGCAATCAATTTCAGGTCGACTCACAGACCAAGAGAAGGAGAGAGTCCAGGGACTGTTTCACATTCCCTTTGCTGTAACCCTTTAACAGTCTGAATGTTACTCCCTGTAACTCTTTACTTCCTCTCCTCTCTTACCCCTTGCTTGTCCTTCTGCTCCTTATTGATGCTCGGGGTCCTCTTCCTCCTCAGCTCCGTCACTTTCTCTTTGTAGCGCAGCTGACGGTCTGACGGAGCCTGAGGACACACAGGGGGAAAAAACACAGAACATTATTTTTAAGTTTTTTCGTCTGAAATGAACCTTTTTGACTCATTTGCATATTTGCTAACCAGCAGAAATAACACATTCTTGTATTAAATGTACATTTGTTTGAAGAGGCGCTATGTGTTCCCTCTCCTGTAGTGTGTTCTATAGGTTTTAATGCATGGTAATGGTCTGCAAAGGCTCAAATGTGTGTGTTATCTCCCACACACCCCCCCTCCCCCGCCTGAAACGCCCCCATTGGACTCCTTTGTGTATTTCCGGATCATAGTGACATCACTTTGGAACACTTGCTCTCCTATTGGCTAATCATAATAATGCATTGTATTTCTAGAGCGCTTTTCTTGAAACTCAAAGACACTCAGAGAGCATTAAAAAAGAATAATAATAATAATAAAACACATCTAAAATATATAGGCTGAAGGGGCGGGACATCTCTAAGCTGGTTGACCAATCACAACAGAGCCGGCCAGCTAACCAATCAGAGCAGACTGGGCTCTGGTTTCAGACAGAGGGTGAAAAGAGGTGCTGCAGCACAGGCAGTGTGAACTCTCAGTTGATTATCAACCAGTGTTCCTGTTATATATGACTCAAACAACAACAACAACAACCTTTCATCACTCTGTTCACCTGAGGAATCACACTGTGACCTCTGACCTGAAGCTTCAGAGTAATGCTACAGTGTGTGGGAACACACACACACACACACACACACACACACACACACACACACACACACACACACACACACACACACACACACACACACACACACACACACACACACACACACACACACACACAACACACACACACACACACACACACACACACACACACACACACACACACACACACACACACACACACACACACACACACACACACACACACACACACACACACACACACACACACACACACACACACACACACACCACACAATAAGTGAATCAGACAGGTGAGGAAGGGTCGCAGCCTTCACCTGAACCCGAGTTATTAGAGAGAATATTCTGGATGTTTTCTGCACTTCCTCACTTCCCTGTTCCCTCGCCTCAATGGTTTTTCTGAATATGTTTTTTGAACTCAGCTCAGTCTATTGATTCTACTTTTTAAATCTCTGCTAAAACTCACCTCTTTGCAACCGGCTTTGAACACGAGTTGAACACAACATGGCTGGCTCACGAGGTGGCTAACAAGAGTCTAAGGCCCCGCTCACACGGGGACCGTTTGCGTTTTTATGCACAGTATGCGAATTCAAAAAAGTCTTCCGTTCACATGCATTTGTTTCATTTAACGTGTCTGTTCAAACGAGGCCGCTGGAAACGCTGTAGTACATATGCTGGGACTGTAAGTGGCGCTGTAACTTCTGCCAAAATACACCAAAAGCCGCGAAGAAGAGCAACCAAGCAGCCCCGCTGCAATGTTGCCATGGCTACCCTTCTGTTTAAGCCCCGAAACTGAAACTGAAACTGAAAGAAACCGAATCTGTGGATATTGCATCCCGACCAAGAAACACGAAAGAAAACAACTCCGTGGAGAGGACGGCTCAGAAAGAGAGAGATATTCTCTACAAACACCGGGTGAGATGCTCCTTTGTCAATATAATGGATCAATGCATGAAATCTGACTCTGTTTATTTTGTTTAAGGAGTATATTGGGCGTTAACAATTCTGGTTTGCTTTTTATAATATTATTTCATTCAAGAACCCCTTGTGCGTTTAATTAACACAGCTATTTTTGATAGTTGCTTCAGCAGTGAGCAGGAGAGGTGGGGAGAAGTGGGGCTATCGTTATTTTTTCAGGAAATATTCGTATAGAGGTGATTACACGGACTCGGTTGACCCCCCAGAGCGTTTCGTTTGCAAATCTATCCACCTTGGGACCCGTTATTGTTTGTGGGGTCAGTTTCTATCGGCCTCGTGTAAATAATAGGGCTATACGCACGAGAAACTATGCAGATACAAGCAGTTTTCTCCTCGTGTAAACGGCGCCTAAATGAGACGCCCTGCACGGTTGTGTCATGCTTGTCTGATGCTGTTATGTGTGTATGTGTGTATGTGTGTATGTGTGTGTGTGTGTGTGTGTGTGTGTTACCTGGCTTCTTGTGGAGTGTCTGTTCTCGTCCTGGCGATGCGACAGCGTCCTCTCTTCGGCCTGTTTGTCGCGCGTCGATGCCTTACCCTGAAAAAAACATCAACACGGTCTAACAAACCAACAACTCAAAATTCGCCCACACACACACACACTCTTACTCACACACACACAGCAGAATAACTGCAGTAACCACCTCGAGGCTTTGTGGCAATGCAGTACAATTGAGTATCGCTACTTCTACTTAAGTACAACGTATAAGTACTTCTTCCACCTCTGCTTAAGAGTGATTTTGTTTAAAAGCGACATAAAAGCAACATATTTCTACTCAAATGCTCTTGATGACAAAAAATGTAATCAAAGGAAAATCAAAATGTAATTTAAAAAAAAGATATATATAGATTGAGTGTGTTTGTATGTGTGTGTCTGTGTTTGAGAGTAAGTGTCTATCTGTCTGTGTGTGCGTGTGCGTGTGCGTGCGTGCGTGCGTGCGTGTGTGTGTGTGTGTGTGTGTGTCCTGGCATTACTATACTTGTGGGGACAAAATGGACGATCATTAATTTTAGGGTGAAGACTTGGTTAGGGTTAGGATAAGTCTCCAGGAAATGCATGTAAGTCAATGTAATGTCCCCTGAAGTGATGTATACATGGTATGTGTGTGTGTGTGTGCGCATGTGCGTGTGCGTGTGCGTGTGCGTGTGCGTGTGTGTACCTTGCACTCATCAGCTGACAGGTTGTGGTAGAGAGGGCATCCTGAGATGGAGAAATGTCTCTCGTGTCGCCCCGTCAGATGACCTGAAACAGGAAGGGGGTTTTATTTTTAAAATCCATACATTTCTGTATTTCCTGAATGTGTCGTCCTGTGTTTCTGTGTTTCCTCACCCAGAGAGTTGCATCCGGGCGTCGGACACTTCATGTTGAAGTTGTAGCTCTCGTGGAAGCGCCGGCGTTTCGGCCTATGGGAGAGGTCGTGGGCGGCGGCCTCTTTGAGTGACAGCTCTTTGGCCAATCGCTCGTCCTCCTCCTGGGAAACCAGCAGGTCGTTGCTGTGGCTCGAAACCTCCAGATCCGACTCTGAGGAGGGGGCGTTTCCTGTGGGGGTGCGGGGGGGGCGTCTCGTCCTGCTTCAGATCTGAACAGCCAATCAGGATAGAGAGAATCAGAGGGGATGATGGGTACAAACTGAAGCTAAAGAGAGGTGCAGGAATGAGTCTTAAACCGTGACATGAGTCAGCATTATAGCACTTCCTGTGTTTTTATTATTATTAAAAACATTATTATTATATTTTTTCAATCTATGTATTTTGTAATTCTTCATATTTTTCAACTTATTTCCTTTTGCTTTTTTATATGCACCATTATACACTAAATCTATTTCCTTGTATGTATAATAATAACAACAACAATAAACCTGATTCTGTATGAAACGCACAAGAAGCCCTTCCTCCTCATCCTCTCCCTCATCCTCCTCATCCTCTCCCTCCTCATCCTCTCCCAGCTTCCTTTGAAGCCCTTCCTCCTCCTCATCCTCTCCCTCCTCATCCTCTCCCTCCTCATCCTCTCCCTCCTCCTCTCCCTCATCCTCCTCATCCTCTCCCTCCTCATCCTCTCCCTCCTCCTCTCCCTCATCCTCCTCATCCTCTCCCTCCTCATCCTCATCCTCCTCATCCTCTCCCTCCTCATCCTCTCCCTCCTCATCCTCTCCCAGCTTCCTTTGAAACCCTTTCATCTCCTAACTAGTGTTTCCTTTATCCTCTAAATGTCCTACACTCTATTCCTCAGATGTTCCTCCATATTGAACCGCTACGTACGGCAACCCAAGAGGGACATTTGACACAGCGGCGTGTCGCAAAGAGGAAATAAAAACCCGACCACATTAATCTGAAAGATATGAGTTATTGTTATTTCAACGTGATTTCCTGATTATTTGAGAATAAACCCTTTTAGTGGGTTCAGTACATTCTTAGAATAAGTGAGACATGGATTGTTTGACCGCTATCACAGTGGAGAAATAAGAAACTGTAAATGTATGCAATCATTTATGGCATTAATAATGAATATCTAATTCTTCTCTGTTGAGATTCCTGGAAAAGGGAAATGACAATAAAGATTTTTCATTAAAAAAAGTTGATTCAAGAACAAAACTCTGTTATTAGATCAGTATTTTTCATATATAACAGTTATTGCTCAATCTGAAAGGTCTTCCCAGCTTTAGGGCCAGATAACTGAGGTGAGTTTTTACTGACTTCATACATTATCAAATACACATGTGATCCGAAACCAACACACTTTTTAAAGATCTACTTTATACGTTTATGGCAGACCAACTCGCGCAGTGAAAATCAGGTAGTCACATGATCCTGCATTAGTGTTCAAAATGTAAGACGTAAAAGTAAGTAGTGGAGTAAAGTACTGATACCAGAAACATACACTGAAGTACAGTAACAAAGTATTTGTACTCCACTACTTCCCAGCTCTGCTCCTGCCCTCGTTCCCTTCCTCACCCTGATGTATGAACACCCTCCCTTCCTCTAAAGTGTATATGAGTTCAAGTAAACCCAGTTCTCTCACCGTTGGCCTCGGTGTCGGAGCCCGAGGACCGGCTCTGACGCAGAGGGTATTTTTTGGCCGTGGTGTGTGTCGCCCCCTGCTGGCTGCGAGTGATTCTGCGCCCTGAGGAGAAGACAGACGCTGAATCTTCTTCAGATCGGACAGCAGCCGGAGACACGCAGGAGTCTGAGAGGAGAGGAGAGGAGACATATATCAGACTAAGACTTTACAGAGATACAACAACTGTGAGGAGAGGAGAGGAGAGGAGAGGAGAGGAGAGGAGAGGAGAGGAGAGGAGAGGAGAGGAGAGGAGAATATATCAGACTAAAACTTTACAGAGATACAACAACTGTGAGGAGAGGAGGAGAGCGAGAGGAGGAGAGAGGAGAGGAGAGGAGAGGAGAATATATCAGACTAAAACTTTACAGAGATACAACAACTGTGAGGAGAGGAGAGGAGAGGAGAGGAGAGGAGAGGAGAGGAGAGGAGAGGAGACATATATCAGACTAAAACTTTACAGAGATACAACAACTGTGAGGAGAGGAGAGGAGAGGAGAGGAGAGGAGAGGAGAGGAGAGGAGACATATATCAGACTAAAACTTTACAGAGATACAACAACTGTGAGGAGAGGAGAGGAGAGAGTGAGAGGGAGACATATTCAGACTTTACGAATTCAACACTTTGGGAGGAGAGGAGAGGAGAGGAGAGGAGAGGAGAGGAGAGGAGAGGAGAGGAGAGGAGAGGAGAGGAGACATATATCAGACTTTACAGAAATACAACAACTGTGAGGAGAGGAGAGGAGAGGAGAGGAGAGGAGAGGAGAGGAGAGGAGAGGAGAGGAGAGGAGAGGAGAGGAAGAGAGGAGAGGAGAGGAGAGGAGAGGAGAGAGAGGAGAGGAGAGAGGATATATAGATTACAGAAAGAGGAACAAATGTGAGGAGAGGAGAGGAGAGGAGAGGAGAGGAGAGGAGAGGAGAGGAGAGGAGAGGAGAGGAGAGGAGAGGAGAGAGGAGAGGGTGCTGAAAAGCTGGTTCGAGGGGCCCCCAGTAAATGTTTGCTATAGGGCCCCCACAGACTCAGGAATCGCCACTGCATACACACTGCTATAAAAGTCTCTAAAATCATTTCTTTCTCCAATATCTGTCAACACAAACTGCACATTCTCATCACCTATGGGATTTATAATTGATTAACACTAACTTTGCTCTTCCTTAAATCGATTTATCTCAGAAAACCTTTGATGTTTACCTAAAATATTTGCATACGTTTTAAAAAAGTAAGATGTTTTTTTGCAATGAAATACTAAAAACAGTATAGGATGTGAATAGGATAGGTTTCTGATGCTAACACACACACACACACACACACACACACACACACACCACACACACACACACACACACACACACACACCACAACACACACAACACACCACACACACACACACACAACACACACACACACACACACACACACACACACACACACACACACACACACACACACACACACACACACACACACACACACACACACACACACACACACACACACACACACACACACACACACACACACACACACACACACACACACACACACACACACACACACACACACACACACACACAGATGGTATTTATCCATTACATTCTGCTATAAAAGTCTCTTAAATGACTTGTTTTTCCATTATCTGTCCCCACAAACTGTCTATTCTATTCTATTAATTTAAATGAACTTTGCTCTTCCGTTAATGGATTCATTATAATAAACTTCGTGTGTTTACCTTGAGAGCTCCGGCTGAGGCGCAGTGAGGCGCGTGTCAGGCGCGTGCTGCTGCGTCTGTGCGCGCTCCCGAGAGCTTCGGCGTGCTCGAGATCGGCGGAAAAGTCCGAGTCCTCCGTCCCGTCCGAGCTGCTGCCGGCGGTCCTCTGATAACACGGAGAATAACAGAAAACATCAACAACAACAACAACAATCAGAGAAATCATGGAAAATAAATTTTAAAAAGATGACTGATTTTTATTATTTTTTACCAGCGGAAAATTCAATAAAGATCCCATCCTGAGGGAGGAGCATCCCCCCCCCCCCTCTCTTTCTTCCGGTTCTACACTTGTCAATAAATACTACAAAATAATCCTAATCGGCATCATAACGCTCCGCCACACACACACAATAACGCATCTACTGTACACTTAACGCCAATTTACCACAACACGTGAACGCATCTTTTCACGTAAATCTCTAATTTACTGTCAATTAACTCAAACAGCTATTACTCAGAGCGTTCAATTAAGACATTAAACTAAGAAAAGGGTCCGAAAAACTGCTGTTTCTGCCTGATTTCTCCAGATATCAGCTGCTTTCTGCCTCCACTCGGAATGAAAGTGGGGAGACTGATAAGGGAGGTTCAACCCCCCTAAAATCATCTGAGTGGGGGAGGGGCGAGGTGGAGACAACATGCCATTTGCGTTCAACAGACAAATACATTCAGAGACCATCCTATACATCCTTTTTAATAAAAATCTCTACCTGATACTGAGGCTATCAAAATGTGGATTATTGTGACAAAATAATGTGTATATTTCAGTTATTGCACTATAAATCAGGGAACCACAAAAGCTTTATTGAATACATGATTATTGTGATATCCCTGGGGGTAAATAGGTAAAACACTGCGGTTTAAACCTAATAACATGAGAATGAAACACAGATAATACAAATTAATGGAGCTATAATGTATAAAATGTTGTTTTAAGCTTTCTACAGATACAGAACAAGTGCAGTTATTAGGAAAGGTAATAATAAACATATAGGAATAGAAAATAACTGAAATAATAAGGATTATTAATTGTAATACGCTCTGTTAGTCTGTGCTTTATGCGATAAATAGGCATATCATGCAAAAACATGCTGATAATATTACAATGTATTACTTATAAGGACATTTAAATAGTATAAGGTACTAATTCAAGTTTATTTTAATGGACAATGGCAGGAAATACTTTTGTCAGCCTAATAAATATTGAGAGTTCCTGTTTTAGTTATATTAAACAGATTGTCTTTGGTTTTAGATCGACAAAAGCAAATATCTCTTTAATCATGCAAACACAGCCTGATAATATTACCATGTAATACTCATAAGATCATTTAAATAGCACTAAAGTTGATAAAAGTGATGAAAAAGCAGATTAAATATCACTACACTCCAGGATGTTAGACTGTATTTGACAACTTCATAACAACTGCACCTCTTTTACATTCAACCAATCACAACACGGAGGGGGCGGGCTTTAAGAGAGGGGGACCGAATCAGCGCGGAGCATCTCCTTTACACTGCGGAGTGGGCGGGCTTTAAGACATTCAGACCAATCAGCGTATGGCTAGTCCAGCTCCCGTCCAATCACAGCGTTGTTTTGGTGATGACGCGTCGCTCCGGCCCCGGGAACAGCTTGTTCCTTTTTGAACAGTCAGAGCTGCCGTTAGCGAGGAGGAACGTATGACCTAAATTCATTCAAAAAGCCCCAAATGTAAAGCTCTTCTCCCGCGAGGACGTGATAAACATAAGCATCTTCAAACAATAAAGAATATATATACTGATTTATTATTTTATCCTCCCTCTCCATTACTATGAACATTTTGCAGCTACTTTACACAACTGTATTTATATTTAAATACTATATATATCTGCTGTAATATATGAGTCTTCTATAGGACAGTCTAACTTATCCAGAACATGTTATATAAAGTATTCTGTGTGGTTCATGTCCCATTATACTGTATATGTTCCTGCTGCTGTAACTAATGTCCCAACTAGGGATCAATAAAGTACCTATCTATCTACACAGCAGACATTGCACGTAAATGAGAGGAAAATGAAAACAATAAAGATGTACATATAAGCAGTAGAGGATAAACACAATATGCAAAACAGAGAATACATATCACTAATGAAGCATAAATACCTATAGAGTATTTTACAATTATATAGATAATACACAAAATATGACATGTTTAAATGATTTACATTAACTTATACAATTCCTTGAACACTTAAAGGTCTCCTATCAGGCAAAATGCACTTTGTGATGTCTTGTATACATCAACATGTGTCCCCGGTGTGTCAGGGAACTCACGCAGCGTCAGAAAGTAAAACCCTCTCTTTTCCTCCGTACCCAAATCTCTAAAAACGGGGGTACAACGGAGCTGATCCAGATTTGCGTCCGATATGACGTAATATCTGAAATGTGGACCCACGGCCCAATCAGAAAGTTGCTATCAGAAACAATGCCCGACGTAATATGGTCGGTGTTTACATTAGCATCGCTAACACTCAGAGCTAACCTGTACTGGAGAGCATGGGTGTTTCTCAATCGCGAGTACGCTTGCTTGGTAGCACATGTCTGCCGAGCATCTTGCTTCAGAAGCGAGTCAAGAATCCTTCCTGGCATTCGGAAAACAAAGAGTGGAACACGCTAGCAAGTGTGCAGGTGTGCGTCATATGAGAGGCCCCGCCTTACATCTTCCGCCACAGATTTGGGGAAATTGGTCCGTGCGCAAAGCATTGTGGGGATTTTAAGACCGCGGAGTCTACTCATGTGCCGCCTCGATATTTCTCCAAACGGAGTACGCCGGGCTCGGTAGATTTCCAAGTATGCTGGAGATTGGAACAGTACTTCGGCGGCACTCGATGACGTAGTATGCTTGAAATAGTGGCTCTGAAGCAGCTTTACTCGCGATTGAGAAACACCCCATGTGTGTGAAGAAGCAGGAAATAAAAAGGAACTCACCTTGTGGTATAACCGGCAAGAGAGAAAGCCTTTGAGCTTTTTTTTTTTTAAAGCTTTATACCCAAAATCATCACTTTTGAAACAGGAAGTGAAATAGAGGGATATGAGGCATGGCTAGAATGGGTGATCTGTTTGGTATTTTGAGCAAAACACTTCATAGACATGTTTTTTATATATTTTTATATATCTGAGACCTATGCTATTGCCTAAAAATAGCATGATAGGTGACCTTTAAAGTCAATAATTCCCCAGTATTAAATTGCTGTAATTTGAAAGCAATGGTTCTTATATACGATCATGTTGCCGATGAGGGGGGATGATAATGTCTGATAGTTGTTGATGATGTTTGCACAATATTAAAATGTATAGCATCAAGAAGTTGTATCTCCTGTTGGTGTCCAGGGAGGGCATGAATGATTAACCCTGATGAGCAACAGGTGCAGTCATGTAAGCGTCTCCATGTATGCTCTATTAATGTTATGTCTGTGAAAAAATGAATAAATAAATTATCCATGCAGCTGTAATGACAACAAAAATGCCCAATTTAGGATCAATAAAGTATATCTAATCTAATCTAGTAAATAATGCTAGTCCAGCCTGTATTAAACCCCCATAATGTAAACATTAAACACCATAAACCCTCTCTAATGTGCACTATAGTGAGCAGTATAGTTACGGTTTTAAGTGACATTTAAATGTATATAAATGTCAATTATCCTTAATTATTGAAGGATAATTGACATGATTGTTTATCATCTACTGCTGTTATGTATATCTTGACTTTGTTTGTATTATTATTGACCTCTACTGCAGTAATGTGTGTGCAATGTCTTATCCATGCTGCTGTAAGGACAACACATATTCCTAATTTGGGATCCATAAAGTATATCTTATCTAATATAAACACACAGAATAAAAGGCACTGTACCTAATGCTAGTCCAGCCCATCAAAACCCCTAACATGTCAAAGAAATGATATGTATCTGTACTTTGGGCTGCGTCAAGCATGAAAGGTGCTATAAGTAAAGTGTATCATTATTAGTACTTAGTATTATTATTGGCCTCGCATTCATGTGCATCTATGCAGCTGTAATGACAACAACAACCCCAATTTGGCATCAATAAAGTATATCTTTGCAATCTAGTACAACGCTAGTCCAGCCCGTATCAAACCCGCATAATGTCAGCATTACACACCATGAACCCTCTCTAACGTGCACTACAGTGAGCAGAGTATTTACAGTAAGTCGTGTTATTGGTGATCGATGACGTGATGTCCTCGCGCTGCTCACCTTCCTCCGGGGCATGGTCCAGGTGAGGGTCGCTCAGGTGAGTCCTCTCAGGGGGGGGGGGGGGGTCACGTGCTCAGTGTGCACGAGCCTCAAACCCCAACAGATCCGCAGTTCTTCTGATTTCAGCCCAATACTGAAAAAAAAGACGCACCAATATGTTCCGCACTTCCCTGTGAGCACTGCGCATGCGCAAACCGTGCTTGTTATGTTGGTCCATCTACAAAATGCCTCCGTGTGGAGCACAGCAGCTGTGGTGGAACCTTCCGTCAACACATTGATTGAACATTTTTTATATCAGAATAATCAGAATACCTGTGTTCCTCCATCAGCTAAAGACAGCTTAATATCTCTCCAGAAGCATAAGGTAATAATAAGATAAGATAAGAAGTACTTTATTGATCCCAATTTGGGAAATGTTTGCGTTGCAGCAGCATAAAAAGACAAGGCATTGTACATAAAATAAATTAAAAGAGTAGAAATAAACAATCCAAAATGTAAACATCTCAAATAGAAATAAAATTAGCATTAAAAAGAAAACTTTTTTATAATTCTTTATTTTATTTATTTATTTTTCATAAAGTTAATTGTTTATGTGTGCTCCGCTCCGGTGCAGTAGATGGCGGTGTGGTCTCCTCCGTGGTCTCCTCCTCCCATGATGAGCCCATCAAAGGAAGAAGACCCTCCTCCTGTCACATGTCCTCCAGACTCGGCTCTTCTTTGTAGCAGGTTCTGAACAAGCTTCAGAGTGAAAGAAAGACCCTGAACTTCTCACAGGACACACGGAGCTCTCTTAGATCTGCTGTTGTTATGGCTGGAAGCACCAAGAATACTGTGCACGAGATCTTTCACAGCATGGAGTCCGGACCGGAGGGTGCCTCCAGTACTAACACTGCACAGGTGAGTACACACCGAGTACTACTAACACTGCACAGGTGAATACACACTGTATACTACTAATACACAAGTACTGTTACAGTATACACACCTAATACTAGTTACAGTAAACACACCTAATACTAGTTACAGTATACACACCTTATACCACTAATACACAAGTACAGTTACAGTATACACACCTAATACTAGTTACAGTATACACACCTAATACTATAGTTACAGTATACACACCTTATACCACTAATACACAAGTACTGTTACAGTATACACACCTAATACTAGTTACAGTATACACACCGAATACTACTAACACTACACAGGTGAATACACACCGAGTACTACTAACACTGCACAGGTGAATACACACTGTATACTACTAATACACAAGTACTGTTACAGTATACACACCTAATACTAGTTACAGTATACACACCTAATACTAGTTACAGTATACACACCTTATACCACTAATACACAAGTACAGTTACAGTATACACACCTAATACTCACACTACACAAGTAAACATGCACCTGCAGAGGAGAAGGACAGCTGTGGTCACACTGCTCAGTGTGAGAAAGTACATTTACTCAAGTACTGTACTTAATTACAATTACTGTACCTGAGTATTTCCATGTTATGCTACATTGTACTTCTACTCCTCTACATCTCAGAAGCCAGTATTGTACTTTATACTCCACTACTTTTATCTGAGAGTTTTTATACACAGAACATTTAATGATAGGTTCAGATATCCAGAATATACAGTCATTCAAACTAGCTGCACCTTCACCAGCTGTGATAACACTTTAATGATCAATCATCATAACAAACTCATTTCATATTCATGATTGTGCAGTACTTATACTTTTGGTACTTTAACTATATTTTGATGCTAATACTTTTGTGTACTTTTACTTTTGAATGCAGGAGTTTTACTGTACTTTGTGCTGTTGCTACATGTGAAGCATGTGAAGTTCATTAAGTGTAAACTCACGAGACTCACATGGGACTCAGAGCTAGAAGTACTCAGATCTTGTACTTGAGTAAAAGTAGAAGTACTCAGGTCTTGTACATGAGTAAAAGTAGAAGTACTCAGGTCTTGTACTTGAGTAAAAGTAGAAGTACTCAGATCTTGTACTTAGTAAAAGTAGAAGTACTCAGATCTTGTACTTGAGTAAAAGTAGAAGTACTCAGATCTTGTACTTGAGTAAAAGTAGAAGTACTCAGATCTTGTACTTGAGTAAAAGTAGAAGTACCAGAGTGTAGGAATACTCTGTTACAGTAAAAGTCCTGCATTCAAAATGTTCCTCAAGTAAAAGTAGAAAAGTATTCTCATCAAAATATAGTGAAAGTAGCGACAGTAAAAGTAGTCATTGTGCAGATTGGTCCATTTCAGAATAATATATATGATATGTTTTATAATGATTGATGCATTAAGTAAGTAAGTAAAGTACAAGTACCTCAGAAATTAAGTATAGTACTTGAGTGAAAATACTCCCTGACTGGAGATGAGTTGGTGTTTGTGTACTTTGCTCTTCTGTAAATCGTTGACTCATTTCTTTATCTCCTTTATTTAGAGGAGGGGTCTCACTGACCAATCACAAGAGAGCGTGGCTCAGGGTGTCTCATGTACCGTGTTACTGTTCATGTATTATTATGGTCTAAACAATTAAATATAACATTTATTAAAATCACAACAGGGCAATATCCGAGTATCACTCTGCCTTCCTTCTCTTATACCCTGTGTCTCAGACAGAAAGCACAGCATGGAGAAGATAACATAAGTGCCAGTTACAAACATACATAAACACAGCAGCTTGATAATCAAACTGTACGCCAACAGTGCAGTGAAAAGAGCAATTAAATATCTACAGGAAACTAGACGGTCACATCATTAATGTAAATATTACCAGTGTCATCCATGATGATGATATATCTAATATCTAATATATATCATTCCAATAACTTGTATATAGACTCGTACTGCACTATTCCACATACTCACTTTATTTTATAACTATTTTTCTTTTTGTATTACTCTTACTATCTGTATTATTATTATGTTGCATTGTTGGAGAAGCCTGTGACATAAGATTTTCAACAACATAATTACTCTGTAGCTATGTCAGTTTGACAATGAAGAACCTTGAACCTTGAACCTTGATGTATTTTTTCATCATGGATGAGAGATTTTCAGTCTGTGGCGATAAGTATGGTTTCATTATCTCGTGTTTTTACATCTGGTTTTAGTCCTATCAGTTTTGTCTAAATATTTTTATGCTGCTTATTATATATTTATTGATGAACAGCACTTTGGTCATCTCTGTTGTTTTTAAATGTGCTGTATGAATAAAGTTGGATTGGATTGTAACATGCAAACCTGGAAGTGTCTCAGACAGAAAGGACAGCATGGATATATGTTATAGGAGTTTATTTAAATGACTAAATTATCCACACCCTCTGATTGTGATTATTATGGTCTGTCCTCTCAGGCCTGGTTGGACCATCACTCTCGTTCTCTGGGTCTCTTCATCGATGGGAAGTTAGTGGTTCCAGCAGATAGACCGAGCCGCTCGCTGACGGACTGTAAAGGTGAGAGACGACAGAAACACTTCTTCAGTTTCATTACCTTTCTAACCCATGTGACGATTACCGTGACGATCAATAACAAGTGTGTGTGCTGTTAGCAAATATTAATGAGTACAACAGTATAAACACAGACTCCTCCCCCTCCTCCTCTTCCTCTCAGGTGCTCCGCTGTGCAGTGTAATGGTTGCAGGTGATGAAGATGTCTCAGTTTGTTCTTCCTCCTCTGTGATCGGCTTTAAATCCTGGAGTGAGCTGAGCTGCTCCCAGAGAGCCAAAGTGATGCTCAGGTACCGTTTACTTATTTAAAATAAAACACTAAAACCCTTGAATACTCAACCCAGTCTCACAAAACAACGTGTAACAGCTACGTTGGTCCACAGGGCAACACGTAGTATATTCACAAATAACCCTCTCTAGACGTGACATGGGTACAACATGTGTTCCTATTCATTTCTAATGACCGGTGTCCATGTCACGTGATCGCAAACTTTCGGACACCCGATTTACTTGTAGTGGAAAATCCTAAATTGTCAGAGAGTTTGTCGTTAAAATGCTTTTTGATTACATTTCTAGTGAGAAGTGTATATTGTACTTTTAGGATCTACGTCCAGTCGATGTGTAGGATCCATAGTTTGATAGATATTACCAAGATTATTTGAGCTCCATGTTTGTTTGTTTTTTACAAAATATTGTATCTATAGCTGCATCTCACTTCGGTTAAATGGATTCCTTGCGTCCCTCACTTGCGTCGTTTCCCTGCGACTAGTCCCTCCCACCAGGGAAGCATGGAGAGACGCAAGGAAACCACGAGAAGCAGGGAAATGAGTTTTAAGAGCAACGGGACGTCCTTTCCTCCAGAGCGTCACGTGAAGCCACGTCCGTTTGTGATGACGCCGCACAGCTGATCGTCTGACAGCAGCCAGATCAGTGCATACGCTAGATCGTCCAATCAGTGAGTGATACACAGTAAGGGGGCGGGGCGAGTGTCTGAGGATTTCACCGGAGGATGGTCTGGTAGTTCCTCGATTATCGCTCCTCCGTTATCACTCCTCGATCCTCCGGCACAAATAAGGCCACTGGGACGCTACTCAAGATGGCGCAGACAAATCAACTTCCGGTGATACCGAGACCGAGGAGCGAGGAAATGAAAAATAACCGAAGTGAGGGTTATTTCTGATTATAAAACGGACAAGTCAAATCAAGCAATCTGATTGGTTCTTAGCCATGATATACTGAGCGTATACCACGGGTAGAATTGTAAGTTACTTTTCACAACAAGTCAGTATCCCTCCGCGTCTGAGAAAAACAGTATACAGTTGGGCTGAAAAGCAAACTGCTTGCAGATCTTACTATGGAGGAGTGGATTGAGGAGTGCCTATCTCCAGAACAAAAAGCACCTAAACGACGACATGTAGAGCTACGTGAAGAGCAGGTAGACCAACTGGAAAAGTATCACCATTCAAAAGCTTTCTGATGCGGGTCTTGAAACAAAGCAGAGAAATGATGACCGTTAGTGGCCACAGGTGCGAAAGCTCTCTCCAGAGCTACTGGAAGCCGAATCTCGGGGACCGGAGAAAGTGGAGCAATATTCTCGCCACGCCAAGCAACAGCCTGGAACAATCTCAGCTGCCGATAACCAGGGGTGCACATAACTGGTACGCAGGTACGCATGCGCGGCAACAATCTGAAATGCGTACCGTCACTTGTGTCACAAAGCGCATTTGCGTACCGACGTAAATGTGAAGCTTTTCCAGAAGGCGGTTAGTTCACCGGACGCCAGAGTCGGTCTCCGTGTGCACAGACAGGGCTGCTGTTAACGTCGGTCTGTCACGCCCCTTAACTGTGATATAATGGCCATATACCACGGCCTGTCGTGAGCTATTGCTTAAATATACTACGTTTTGCCCTGTGGACCAACGACGTAGCTATTACACGTTTTATTGTGAGACTGGGTTGGAATACTCCGTTATGTTGACATCCACCTGGATCCATCTTCTTCTTATTCATAGACGCATGCATGTTCCAGCATCTGGACTAACTATGTTGTAAATGTATTATCTTTGTAATGTACACACAACGTCTATTCTCCATTAGCTGGGGGGTTTCTCCCGTTAACTGGGGGGGCTTTGCAAAACTATACTTTACATATTGTTTTGGTATAAACAGATGTAAATAATGTTCTATATCTTAACGTAAAACCGTTTGTATTCACCTTCTGTAACTGTGTTAATGTTTGCACGGATGTGTGTGTAACTCTACCTGTGACCTGTGTCTGGTCCCTCAGGATGGTGGGGGTGCTCGGGCAGCATGCAGTGTGTGTGTCGGAGGTGTGTGATGTGTGTGAGGCCGCCTGCCCCCCCCCCCTCTCTCATCAGACTCCTGCAGTTCTACAGCAGCTGGGCTCAGCTCCGAGACGCTCTGATGCCCAGCTGGACCCCCCTGGGTGAGGCTGCTCGAGGATGAGATGGGAACACCTGTAGGGAGGCTCAGGTGTTCCTCTCACACCGTGCACTTTTAGAGGAACACACCACGCTATATGAATATACATGTTACAAATGGTAGTCCTTTGTGCACGTTACCCGTTGGTATCTTTTGTCCATGGGGACTTTATGTAAAATAAGAACAGTAGGGTTAGTTAAACAATTATTTACATATATACAGAGTTTAATTATTACAAATAATGATATAAATGTCTAGTTGAAGTCCAACATTAGTTGTTAAAGTTGTTAAAGTGTAAACGTGGTGTTAATATTATTTAATGTGTTTCTCTTGATTCCAGGTGTGGTGTTGGTGGTCGTCTCTGATGACTGCTCCCTTTATAAACTGATGATCAAAGTCCTGCCAGCCCTCGCCATGGGTAACACACACACACACACACGCACACGCACACGCACACACACACATGCTAACACACACACACATACTAACACTCTCTCACTCACTCACACACACACACACACACACACACATGCTAACACACACACACACATGCTAACACTCACACAAACACACATGCTAACACTCACACATACACACACACACACACACACACACACAAACACTAACTCACACACACACATACTAACACTCTCACTCACTCACACACACATACACTAACACACACACACACACACACTAACACACACACACACACACACACACTAACACACATACACACACACCAGTGGCGAACCGTGTCTATCACAACTGGACCTTCTGTAGCCACACACACCCCCCCCCCACACATGCTAACACACACACACATGCTAACACTCTCTCACTCACTCACACACACACACACATGCTAACACACACACACACATGCTAACACTCACACAAACACACATGCTAACACTCACACATACTAACACACTCACACACACACATACTAACACTCTCTCTCACACACACACACACACACACACACACACACACACACACACACACGCTAACACACACACACACACGCTAACACACACACACACACACACACACACACACACATACTAACACTCTCTCACTCACTCACACACACACACACACACACACACACACACATGCTAACACACACACACACACATGCTAACACTCTCTCACTCACTCACACACACACACACACACACACTTGCTAACACACACACACACACACATGCTAACACTCACACACACACACATGCTAACACTCACACATACACACACACACAAACACTAACACACTCACACACACACATACTAACACTCTCACTCACTCACACACACATACACATACACACACTAACACACATACAC